ATCTCATTCATTCAGGTAAGAAAACAAGAGCAACATTCTCTCATCACTAAGACCCCAGCCATTTAAAAATTGAACAAATGCTGTTAAAAACAAACATTTTGGAATTAAATTATATTGGTGTATGACCAGCTTAAGCGACGATGACGTAGGACAGTTTAAAAAAGTCAGAATGTAGGGGATAAAAGTAAGCCCTGACTGCCAGGGGGAGCGGGAATCAGGTAAACGTTCTTTACACCGATCCCCTAGACATAAAAACATGCAGTTAACCCTTGCAGTGCAAGGGTAGTTGCCCCCCACCCCAATTAACTGCAAGCAGCAGATTAGAGATCACAAGGTACATTTCCATTGCTGGTGGCTAACACCCATTAGATGCAGATTGGCAGTTGGCTGGAAGGGAACTCATGACATCAGACGACTGTAGTCTGCCAGCAACAGAGTGGGGTCCAATCAGTGAAAGGCAGAATATAATAAATACTCTCACTGTAGATAAGATCTTCATTGATATCGGGAAGCCCATTTTAGCCTCAGTGATTGTGCACAAAAGAATGAGCAGTATAGATTTTTGTACTATATATAGTGTTAAAAGTGACACAGGAAGGGGTTATCCACTTAAGGCTCTGCTTATTAAAGGAAGTATACTCTGAATCTACAAGCAATTCATTTCCAAGGCATAAAACCGCCACCAATGTACAGCTAAATTTACTCTAAGCCATAACATAAATCATTTTACTATTTCTGGCCTCTGCTTATTCCCTACTGTTTAATCCCTTGATGGCTACCAACATCAAAACCACATAAAAAAAGGTTAATACTGTACAGCCACCCACTGCAGTAACTTATACATGATATACAATAGAAATACTTTTATTATAATTGTTCAATAAGTGCACAAAATACATGTTAGTCTTGTCAGAAATTCAGATATGTCTCCTATCCTGTGCACATTTTCTCTGTTATGTCAAGAGTCCAATTAGCCTTCCTTGTTCTTATCTTGAACTAGAGAATAATTATTCCCTAAGTAGTGGGTAGGAGGACTGGGGGGTATTCAATGGCTCAGACAACTGGGCAGGACATGAACTGGTATTTTTCTGTATTTGCTGGATTTTTTATTAGTTAAAATTAAGGAATGTACATGTATTACAGTTTACTACCTATCTATTTAAACATTTTGCCTTGATATACACTTTATCTGTATGAGGTAGTGTGGAGATCATGAAGGCATCCCTGCTTCATCTCCACTACAGACCACAATCAGAATTAAGGTGCCCATACACTGGCTGAATTTCGGCCGATACATTAAAAACTAGCCGAAATTTGTGTGCGAGGCTGTCGGCTCCCTTTCAGCCGGCATTCCTCGATCAGCTGATTGAAGGAGCCGGCGGGAAAATCTCTGTGCAATTAGAGCCGGCAGCCAATGAGCTATCCGCTCTTTTTGGGTATTCTGATGGGGGGCGGCGGCACCTGTCAGAATACAATGCAAACAGCAGTGATTCCTCGATCGACACTCTGTTTGTGTTGATGGAGGAATCGCATCAATTTCTTCAATTCAGCCTGCGGGTTGAACTAAAGAAATTGGCAAGTGAAGTGCTAAGGCCAGCTTTATGCAGAGAAATGGAGATAGAAGAAAAAGTTTGGTTTATGGAGTCTTTTATAAACACTGAAAGCTGTAAGTGGGAAAAAAAAAAAAAGTGTCAAAAGTGGAGGGCAGGGCTCGGCAGCAAAGGGGTTAAAGCATAGACCTTTTTTAAAGTGGTTAAAGTGGACCTTTACTCCTTTTAACTACAAATCACATCAGCATACAGCTCTGCATGCTCATATGAAATCATCTTACAATAATTAGCTAAACATATTTTTATTTTACTTACAATTTATTTTTCCCCCCACTTCCTGGTCGACTTTGGCAGAGATGATGTAACTGTGCCCAAGCATTGGATCCTGAGAAGCTTACATCAGCAGAGCATTGCTGGAAAATGTCATCTGTAATCTCATGAGATCTTAGGGAAAGGCATTTTCCTCCCGTGAGATGATGTGCATGGTCACATGTCCTAGTCACATGTGCCAGAGTCCCAGGAAGTAAAGGGAGATATATCAATCTGCTCTTAGTTAAAATGGCTACTGTCAGAAGACTGGGGAAGATAAATAAGGTATGCAAAAAAATAAACAGCCGGCAATTATCTACAAGTATGCGTTTGTAGATTGTCATTACTAAACATTTCTACGGGTTTCATTGTTGTTATTTTGAAGATATGGGGAAAGTTTCTCTTTAACAAACGAATGCTCGGAAAGGGCATTATAGTAACAGATGACTAACTGTCCCATGATCTCTTATGCTGTCACTTTCAGTTCCTGGGACTGTGGGAGATGCCAAGCTGGAATGATTGTACTACACACGCTGTGCATCAGCATATCAGCAAGCATTCAGTACACCGCTGGAGCGTGAATTATTTGGGTGGCAACACTGCTTAGGGAGCGTGGTATAAGGAAGGTAGACACTGCAACATGTAGAGGGTAAAGAAACATTTAATATATTTTTTATTTTAGAGTATAAAGCCTTTAATTTTATATGTTTTTGTGAGTTTTTTTTTTTTACTATGTATGAGGTAGTGTGGAGATCATGAAATCTTTTGTTTCTAATTAACACATAATTCACTCATTACACTAAATTCACTGAACATAAAAAACTCGGCAGAGGCTGTTTACCTTCAGCCTCTCTGTCCCTCCAAAACTCTGTATGGTCTGCCTGAACACAGTAGACAGAAAGCAAGAGCAAGCTAAGCTGAACTACTACTTTAACTCATTCAGTTCTGTGGGGAATCTCCTTGTAAAGAAAAAGGAAGAACCAAGTCATCTGTGTGCTGCCGTCAATATTTGGAAGAAATAGGTTAGATCCCAATGCCCCACACCCCATCCAGGGGCAGGCAGATACTTCCCTGTTCATCGAGATCTGCTGTCCACCTTAATCAATACAGAACAACATGCACCAATGAACATTCACACTAAGACATAAATACAGTGTTTTCATAGCTGTAATTCACTAAATAGACTCTCGCGACATGTATAAAGATTGCTGGTAATCACACTAGTAGACATAGACAGACCCTAAATACACTGATGGCAATGTGTACTTGAACATGCCTATGGATGGTTTGTATGCTCACTGGTGCTCCATGGTGGCTCTACTGACACTAAGTAATGAATGTAGCCTGGAAAAACAAGCAGCAACATGTGTAAAGGTGGTAATGAGCATCTCACAGTTCTTCTGAGAGGAACCTAAATAATAACCAGTAATAGTAATATAACACTACTTCCAACAGCAATACCGCAAAAAAATTAAGACCTTTGCCTAGTACCATTTGTATCTAGAATGCTCATATTATACCCTATCGAAATGTAAGGACAAACTGGTACATTTTCTACAACAAAAAACATATTGTTCTCATTACTCTAGAAGTACTATGAACAGCTTTAGCGGAGTAGGTGTGAAGCAGCAAAAATAACTTTGCTCCCAGCTGTGTCCTTTGAGTACCCTGTGCAACTAATTAACATGAACTATTCAGCAATCGGAGGACAGAAATTGTACTTAAAGGAGTACTGTTGTGAGAAATATTGTAGCCTGATAACTACAGGTTGCTAAAGCCCAACTCCAGCCAAAATCTATTATGTCATTTTGGATACAGTGTAAAGGGTGTAATGGGTAAGTAGCATGGTTTTTATTGCCAGAACAGGATGTGAAGGTAAAATGTATATAAATGGGAAGACACAACTAAAAACACATTTATTTAAGTGGGGAAGGGTTAGAATTCAATGTTTGTATTTTCCTGCCCTAGTGATGCCAGCACCCCCCATTTCTTGTACGGGGATCACAGGGAGAGGAAGTAGAGAAAAATATCCATAGTGAGGCCACTAAAAAAAATTGACAGAAATTTTAGCTGTAGCCCACTCTAATAATAACTAAAAAACATAAAATTGCTAGAGTTATGTTTGAATACATGTAATGATAAAAATTCATATAAATCAAACTTTTTTAGTTCACATGCCTTTACTTAGAATTTCTCTACATCTACATGCAGATCAAGCAATTCGACATAAGTGACAGGGGTTCGGGTAAACTAACACTACCTGGGAGGGCTTGCAAAGGTTAGGATGGGTGGGTAGTGTGAAATTGATCTTTAGGCTACATTCACACTGTATGTGGTGATCTGCATTTTTCTGCGCAAGAACAATGAATTAGGACATATAGAAAACAACTGTGCCCCATTCACGCCTTTGCACCACAGGTCTCCAGACCCCAGTACTCCACACAACTGGCCGGGACCTGAATTAGGTGTGCGGTTTGTACACTCCAAATGAGGTTAAGAAAAAAAAAGTAAGCAGAGTAATGTTCTGAGGCATCACATCTCCCCCGCTACACGTGGCACACCACACTAGCCTAGCAAAAAGTTTCCCAGCACACTCACCAGCCAGCATGCAAAAAAACTTGTCTAACCGCTAAGGTTAGAAACAGAGGTCTTAGATACACGTCTTCTGCAGAATATGTGAATGCCGCACCACCTCGCCAAGGCACCTCTATATAGTCCGGTCCTAACTCTAACCTATGAGAGTCTCCATCTTGGAGCACATGTAGCAAAAGATAAAATTGGCTCCTGGCAACCTGCACCCAATTTTATATTTTGCTGGCTGGCGAGTGTGCTGGGAAACTTTTTGCTGTTGTATTGTTTAAAGCCCTTCCATGTGCACCTTGCTGTAAAGCTGGTGATAAGTTGATGAGTGCATTTGCCATTTGTTTTGCTACATCACACTAGCCCGTCTGGTAGTAAAAACTGAGAGTTGTAGTGAGCAGGCTAGTGTGAGCGTAGCCTTAAAATTCCTTGGAACTGGACTTGCATTTCCATATCTCCCCTGCTCTGCCAACCCGTGGTGAAATTTGGTTTTGTGGTACATCAGACATGTGCAGAGCAAATCACTTGATAAAGCTGTACAGATTCATAGGGACCCCTTACCTTTGACATGAACAATGGCAGTCCTTGATGACGATACCCCCTTTGAGTTGCGAGCTTCACAAGAGAAGAACGTATTTTGTTGAATCCCTGTGGAGAAACATTATTGGTAGGTAAATATATGTAAAGCACTTTTTTTGAATGATTGGGGTTGAATCATAAAATTAGAGTGCCCGTCGGCCGCTGTCAGAATACACAACCAGAGCCAGCAACTCATTGGCTGCCGGGTCTCTGGTCGTACGAAGATTTCCCTGCTGGCTTCACCGATCAGCTGATCGAGGGATGCCAGCCGAAAGGGTGCCAACAGCGGCACACACTGAGCGAATTTTGGCCGATTCTCAAAATCGGATCAACATTAATACAAATTCTTAATACAGTAATACAAATTGGTAGGTAAAATAGGTCCCATCTATATTTCATCTGTATAGTTAGCAGTTTTCCTGGAGTTCAGATTTAATCTGTCAGTGCTTATGGAACATTACTACCACTACACATTTTTTTATGCCAGCCCTCTCGATCTGGAGTCTTCCAGCTCCCACTTGCAAGTTTTTTATAGAATACCACTGCTGGAGTTAGAACGCAGGCCAACAAAGCTTACAAATACATATGGTTGCATTCATGTACAAATTATACTAGTAACTAAATAATGAAAACCAAAAAAAACACACATGGGTTTTATTACATGTGCTAATAAGATTATGATCACATCCACAAATACCTAAAAATAAAACAAAGCTCTCCCATCAAACCATAAAATACAAAACACAACTACTCTGGCTGTTAGGTTCCGTTCACACATTAGCAGTTAACATAAAAAGCATGACAAGGGTATTGGCTACATTTTGTAAGGGTCAATTAACGAAACAGCATAAGACTTCTATACCAATCCCCCTTCGAATTGACACGACACTGGTATTGGATTTTAGTGGCCACAGCAGCCAATTTATTAATTATAAAACCATTTAACAAACCTTTCCAAAAATAACTGACAACGGGAACCGAGGTCCTTGAAGGCCACCCCACAACAAACCAACCAGTGTCTGCCTCCATGGCCCCCAGTCGCACCACACCGCCTCGGGGACTTAGCAGTATAAGCAGACACTAGATGACTAACGATCCGACACGTTAACAAAGGGATGCCATACCTGAGACAGCTCCCCGCTCTTAATTAAACAGCAACTGCATAGATTGCTCCTCAAGGACCCTAATACCCTGCCCGGTACCAGTGACATGAACAATACATCAAAACAAAATGCAAATCGGACAATGCAAATATCGAACAAAAGGAAATACCTCACACAAAAAGATAATTAGGGCGGCAGGGTGGGACCCTACTTCCACGCTGCTGACTCCATCTGGATTTGGAAACTTCTTTCCTCAGGGATCCACCTCCACTCCTCCTCTCCACACCTCTGACCAATCAGGTAAGTGTCCCATCATAACCTCCCTGTTGCTAGTAACAAATTAACCCTAGCAGGACCCCTTTTTGTTTCCCCAAACCCCTGTCATGTAGGCCTTCCACAGACTCCTCCGTCTGCTGTTCCAGGCCTGCCTATACATTGAAATGTATGTTGTTGACACTTGAGTGACGTCCGTGCGGTACGAAAATGCACATCGTGCAAAAAAGTCCAAGCTCGATATTGTGGGAAGATTCAGCACTTTACGGCTATGGTAAAAGCCGCAAACCTGCAGAATCCGCGCAGAAAATGCAAACACCATGTGTGAATGGAGCCTCACATTTGACAAGCAGATTCAGTTCTGATTCAGCCGTATTAAGACCAATAGGACCCTAGGCAAGGGAACAGCACAAGGTCCCCTTACTTTATTAACAGATTCCAGTGTTTTTTTGAGGGCCATTCACAACTTTGGCATGTGAGAACCTGTGGTAAAACTCACATTTTACTGTATTTTACAGCAACAAACCTTAACACGTGAACCACAGTGTATTGTCATTCATTTTAATGCCACCCAACACACTATTACGGTACTGGGCACCAGGGCTGGATTCAGAGTTTTTTTTAACTCATTCTGACACATTTGTGTTCAGGAATGGAACCTCTGCCAAACATTTGGCACATTACTGTCATTCAAAGGGGTCTGTCATCCCCACTGCACATTACTGAGAGTTTTATTGCTGTGGAGTCTGTGATGTACTCACACACTGCACATTATGGTGTTTTATTGCTGTGCAGCTTTGTGATACACACGGTCCAGGCACAATATGAAGGATGGAGGATCCCCTTCTTCCTGTCCAGGCCCCCTCCAAGTGGTGGAATGTTCGGGTCCGGTCGCAGCTGCGAGCGCTGTGACCTTGGTAGTTCCGCCACTGTACAGAGGACTACAAATCCCAGCAATACATTATATAGCAATGCAGAATACCACCAGCTGTAGAAGACTACAAATTCCAGCAATACATTATACAGCAATGCAGAATACTATTAGCTATAGGGTTTCCTCACCTCTTGTGCCCCCCACTTGGCCCACTGACTTTACTGAAAATTTGGGTTTGATTAACGCTTGGGCTTAAATTTTGTGACATAAAAATTGAAACTGCCACCATTTTGTTCTCCACAGTCTCTGCTTTCAGAAAACATAAGTCGGGGGTTAAAGTAAAATGCTTTCCAAATATATATTTTTATTGTTTGCATTTTGTAAATTGATAAAAATAAACAATAAAAATATATTTTTTTAAAAGCATTTTAATTTACAGCATTTGTCACACCTGCCTAAAACGTTTGCACAGTACTGTATATGCAAAATATTAACTATATAAGCTTCTGCACTCCTAAGTGCTGTTTGCATGTGTAAAGTGTACAGAAAGATGGGAGTGCTTTATTCTTTTTTATTTTTGTTATTAATAAAATGATTTTAAATGTTAAAGTTCTATAGTCCAGTGAGTGGCTTGAGTGTGAAGTATTGAAAAAGGATCAGGAGTGGTGACATGTAATAATCACAATATTGGGAAAAAGCCTTGCATGACCTTATTTAATATAGAAGGTCTGTCTTAAAATGTGAGCACCTCTCCGATGAAGGGTGAAGTGGAAGCACATATCAAGGGCGAATCAGCACAGGAGTTGATGTGTCCTGTGTGTTTCACTAAATTTGTCTTTACTGACACAGATGACACGTATATACTTGATATTAACTGCACTTTTGCAGTATTAATTGGATATTTGCATAGATTTGACACATTTAGATGTATATTATTTAGACTTTTTATTATAATTGAATTTGGTTTATATAATCATTGCAAACAATTTATTTGGTATTATGAATGTACAGTTAGCTGGGTTCATATAGTTTTAGTGCTGCATAAATGCAATTTATACATGCAAAATAAAGTCATACTAACACTAAGGCCCCATTCACACCTGACCGTTTTGTAGCGCGTCCTACGCTCGATGAACGATCTACAAAACGGTCAAAAAAATAAATAGCATTGTAGTCAATGGTATCGTTCCCACCTGTCCGTATTTCCGCCCGTCCCGAACGCACTACAAAACGGCCCACGCATGAAAAGGTCCCGGAGCGTTTTTTGCTGCGTATTGGTCGCGCAACTTTTTTTACCGCGAATCGCGGTAAAAAAAACGCGTGGCGGTCGCGCGACAGACGCGCATATTACAATACGCATAGGTGTGAATGGGGCCTAATACCTTTTTTTAACTGTTCCAAGTGAGTTGCTGCTGCAACTCTTGCACTTCATGTCACCTCACCAGGATCATAACCACAAACCCAAAGTTTCCCAAGCAGCACATTCTTGTCCTGTAACTCATAGAACACGATCTCTGTGGCAGAAAAGGCAGCAAAGACTGGACCTAGCTGGAAGAGGCAGACTGTAGCTATAAGTGAGAAAATGATTGATCCAAACTCTGAAATCAGTACTGCAACCTCCCTTGCCGTCTAAAGCTTCTAAACAAACCAATTTTTCCTTCCGAGATGTTCTGTGCTGGGAACCTGCAGCAAGCTTTGATCTTCCCTAAAGTAGATTGTATTTAGGGGAGCACAGTAAGCACTATCAGAGAATGATAGTGGAGAGGTAAGGAGGATGATGAAGGCACAGTCAGGCCTTCTAGACATCTGCTGGGAGATAGGTGTCCGACTAGGTTGCCTAGTGCAGACTAGCCACCGAAGACTGGCCAATGGGAGTTTAATATTCCAATAATTGATCATTGTTGCCTTAGCAGCCTTTGGGGCAGTGTGTGGCTCAATCTAACTCATGAGCTGACAAGGCAACTGAAAGCAAAAACCTAAAAACACAACAAAAAAACGAATTATTGTTTTTTTAATCATTATTAATCTTAACTATACCAGGAGTCAGATTGGCCCCTTTGCTCACCCTATATCACCAGGTGATAACAGCTAAGCCCATTATAAAGCTGGCCACAGACTATAGAAATAGGCCTGCAGACACAACCTAACATCAGATATTTTTAAACCCTTTGCATAACTGTACTATGCTTTTTTTTTTTTTTTTTTAGCCCTCACACACAATGCCCTGTGCCATGAGAATGTGAGTTATTGTTGCAGAAGAAAACAAGGAATGCAAACCAGACCCTGATGCCAACCTAACCTGTCAATTAGTCATAGAGTTATAGTAATGTTAACCGAGGCAAACTGACACTTAACTCTGGTTTAATCATCTAAGCGTCAATGAACTCAGATCTGCTGCCGAATTATGTAGGAGGAAAACAGGGGACTGCCTGGGACATTTTTCCTCCCAAACTAACCTCAGGCCCGATTTCTTACTCACACTGATCTTGTTTAATCAAACTGACACCAGGGCATTTTCTGCTCCCACTGGCCACAATCTAAACCCCCTGAAAACTGAATGACAGTGAACAGGCCCTTTGTTATTACGTTTGAGGCTCATGGACTAGAAGATTCAGATGCCTCTATGTCCACCTACCCCCTCTATATATTCTTCTATTTCACTATGTGTTTATTGCCTGGAGTCAATACCAAATATAAGTCACCAAATATAGGCCCTTCTTAAAAGCTGTCAACATTTATACACTGAACTGTTTTTGTTAACAAAATGTTGGCTTACCAATACATATAACCTGCATTGTTACTTTACTAATGCTATAACATTTGTTTTGCTGTTAAGAGTATTCTAGTGAAATTCCTTTACTGCCTGAACCTGTTGCAATGCCACTTACATACTTTTAAGGCTGCACAAGTCTTAGCTCGCCATTACAGACATCTATGTAATATGCATGTATAAGGCTCATTCTGTTCAGATCAAATCCATAGCTGATCCTAGATTTGCTTTACTTTTATGTGCTGTAAAGCTCTCAGTGGCCACCTATTTTACATGTTGAATGTTGTCATCCATATCACATAATAAAGGATTAAAGATGAGGACAGGGCAATAGCTTATACAAGCATGATCTGACTGCAATCAGCATAAGCTGTCTGTATAAAACACTCTATTAACTTCTAAGGCTGGTTTTACCAATTTTACAGACCTAGGTCAATGAAAAAGGGGAGAGAGAGCAGAGAAAAAAAAAGAGGACAGTGCTAGCTTTTCACCCTTGAACAAGAGTTTTCTGGAGTTCTGAATATGGTTCTAATTTGTCCAACCACTAGTTTTCAACTGGCCCAATCTACAGGCACCCATAAATGTGGGATCATTACCCTATCTTGGGGTTCTAAACAAAGATTCTGTGAGAGATCCCTAGGGGTTCCACCACCTTTGCAGAAGATTTATATCAGCCCAACATCGATTTTACTTTTCCCTCTGCAGCCAATGCCAGGAGGCTGTTTGTCTGGGCAATGGGACTGCATGCACAGTGGGAGCCCCTCTTCTGTAGGAAACCCTGTCTGGACCTACGAGTCTTTATGGCGAAAGAGAGGCCACAAGGAGGAGAAATTGCCCAGTCAGGTAAGTTCACAATCCAATCCAGCCTTATCTAATAAGCCAACTACCATTGTATGACTGCCACTGAACACAAATGCAAACGTAAGGTTGTTCCCTCAGCACCAATGCAAAGTTAGATGTTGGCAGTGAATACCTATGCAAATTTGGAGTTTTGCACTGAACACCAAAGCAAAGTTGGAATATTGCAATGACCACCAATGTAGAGTGAGCTTTGCAAAAAGCACTATCTTAGTTTTGCTACTCAGCACCGATGCAAATTCAGTGTTTTATATGACTGTCATTCTGAAATTTAGTATGCAGTTCTGTTTTATATATTATGAATGTTTGGGTTTGTTACATCTACATATTAATTGTTATATCTACAACTCACTGATCACACTAATGTATCATGAGCTTTAGGTTAGAAAATTATTTCAGGGGTTCCCCAAGATCTTACATTATTTTAAGGGTTTCTCAAAGGTAAAGAGGTTGAAAAATAATTACTGAATTACAAACAGCCAGATGAGGAGTCCATCTACATATTCTAAAACACTGCACCACCAAGCACTGATCTAACTCATTCAACTTGGAATGGAGAACAAAACGTTCTTCATGTGTGCTGAATTGTACATCTTCCAGAGCTGTAGAGAAGATTTTAGCGTTTCTTTTGGTGGAGGATTCGAGGGAAGACAGGCAAATGCAACCAAGCTCAGACTCTTAGAGAGGAGATGACAGGCCCATATCTGGCATTTTTGTTCAACAGTCTCATAACTGTAGGAACCCCTAATGCTGCCAGCCACTCTGTGTCTGTAAGCATATCAGCTGGAAAGGTAAGAAAACCTGCCTGACTGCTAATGGCACCTTGAGTAGATACTTGAAGTCAGAGTGGGAGGGTTTAAAATACTTAATGTGTGTCTATGTGAAAATCTGTATGAAAAACATGTTCCATGGCTGTATGATGCACAGAGCGACTGTTTTGTAAAAATTAAGCTTGTCCTACGTTTTACCACTCCAAGCCTCCATTTTGGTTGCTTAACAGGGAGCAAGTTTGACCAGAAAAGAATGGGCATTTCTTATGATTTTTAAAGCCTCTTTAACTAGATATATTGCCTGTCTGCTTAGGCATTTTTTAATCACTTGCACAGCTTGAATTGCCTTTCTTTGTAACAGGTTAACTTTCTGCTCATCCATGTACATTTATACAATATATATATATTTTCAATAGCTGAGAGAGTTAAAGATAGGATTTCTACAGAAAAAATAGAAGAAAGGCTTAGACACAGGTAAAACTGGTTGGTCTCGCTCGGCTTATCAAATGACACGTTACATAAGAAGTCTCTGACGGTTCTTTTTGCTGGAAGATTTTTTTCTAAGAAATGGCAGCGCAGGAGTAACAATGGGACCATCATCGACCTTATTCATTAGATAGTTCCTTTTTCACAATTACTTTTTCTTAAAGAGACCCTATTGCCAGACTATTACTTCAAAAGCAATCCTCAAATAAGATTATATGTGCATTTTATGTATTTACATCTATGTAAAAGGTGAAGGGTGGAGGAGCTGAACCAGCACAGACAGAAGAAAGGGCTTTGACATGTCATGAGGGTGAACTGTGGCTGTGCTAGAGACTGACTGCTCCTAAAGAAGTCATATTAGCTAGCACGTTCAAAAGCACATTGCAAATAAATAAAACATCAGTTATGGAAAGGAGAAACAGAGTAAGTGAGATACTTGATGCATTTTGGTAAGTTGGTCTATTTAAAAGGGAATCTATAGTGTATATACTGTGTATATGTAATAAAAAATATATAAATTATATATATAATTCAAGCCATTACTCTGCAGAATGAAAAACTCCATCTACAGCTCAACACACGTCTTACCTGGCATAAACAGGACTGAAGGTGAGCTTTCTGTTTTCCTCACAGTGGTAGACCCTCCTACCAACCACAAAATGGTCAGCGGCTCAGGTGGTCCAATAGCTGCACATGTAATGGTGAAGGTAGTGTTGGGTAAAACAGCCATATCTTTTGGCTCCGCTGTGAAATATGGGACACCTAAAGCCATATCAAAATATAGAAGATTGCAATTATAAACATTTGTTAATACACAGCAGGAACAATTTACAAATGCATTGGTTACAAGATGAATTATAAACTATTCCGTGCTGGGAATAGCTGAGTGACCTACCCTCTACTGTGATCCAGATGTTATCGGACACAGCTTTAATCCCTTTATCCTCAGCTTCACACCAGTATTTCCCAGCATCTGGACGTTCAACATTTTTCAAGCTGCAAACACAATGTAACAAACCAGTTAACATGTACCAAAATTGTTACATACCAAGAAAGGCGAACTATGTCACAAATGAAAAACCTAGTCTACAAAAGTGACATTATACCCTATTCAACTAGTTACATTTCAGAGCCACTTTCACATTTCAGGAATAACTTTGTAATACCTTATGGAACAGAAGTATTGGGAAAGATGGCTTTCTTTTGGTGTTATTGTCCTCCATTAGTGAAATCATTTTCTCTATATCATAAACGCAAATTAACTAAAACATTGAAAAAAGACCTTTACCAAATGGACCAGCAATAAATTTTAAAAACAACTAAGATTGTTACAGATATACTGCTAAGTTTATTTTGCAATGTGCCCCATATATCAAGACACTGATGTTTTGTTTCTGGCGCAAAGCACGGCAAAGTTATGCACATATTAAATTAGGGCTTTTTTGAACTTTACTGGTTGCTTAGCCCTTATTCACACCTCTGTGATGTGACATCACAGAGGTTCTGCAGAGTGCCCTTGCGACGCACTGCGATAGGCAGCTCATTTGAATGGGCTGCCTACCGCAGCTTAAATCACACTGAAAAAAGTGCATGCACCTTTTATTTAAACCGCAAAGCACAACATTGCATGGTAATAGGTTGCTATGCAATGTGGTGTGATACAATGAACATGCGATGGCTAAGTGCGCCGTGAAAAAAGAATGGTACTGCATAGCACCTAACATTACTACATGTAATGCAGGATCATGTGCGACATCTCACGCGCTCCTGAATTGCATAGATGTGGAAAAATAAACTGGTAGAAGAGAGAACTCCTGTGAAAATAAAATGTCAGCAGCTAACTAAAATGTATCAAAGTATGTTTACAAACTAACAAACAAACACTGCATCTGAAAGCTTTGTTTCTACCAATCAGTGCTAACACCAGCTACACAGATTGGGAGCTGTTGAGCTGACAGCTGTGTGCATGGGTTTATGCCCAGCAGGCATGGACTCCGACATATGAGGCATGTGCTTGGTCCTTAACTGCTTATTACTTACTAATAAAACTTCAATAAACATAAGTCAGAAGAAGCACTAAATACTACAGTGAATTTTTAGTAGATACATTTGCTTCCACATCTCTACATTGCTTTTTCTTTTTATGGTCGTTTATAAGTAGATTTGCCAGTGCTCTGAGGACATGTGATTAGCATTACAATGACATTAGTCAACATCATAAAGATTGGACAGTCTAATTTTGGGAAGATTTGATGATTAGTCAATTAATCTAGACATCAAAATGGCCACCCTCTGCAGCAAACCATGGGTTATTTCAGTTAAAACTATTTTCCAAAGGTAATTTGAAGGACTGCATTATATTTAAATTAAATAAAAATACTAAAGGGTATTTTCACAAATCCAAATGGGACCAATATATATATATTGCATTGCTGTGCTTCTGATACAGTACATGACTTTCTACTCCAAGAACATTAAAATATATTGGGCATGCCAACTTGGGGCAGCTGCATACTGATCTTGGTGTGAATAAAGGAGTGTCTATATATGGTAAAGTTGCTCAGGTCTCTGCATGCCTATTAATACTACAAACACTGTTAACTGTAGCCTAGCCTGGACAAGATACAGTACCTGAGAAAGCTGATCCAATGATCTTCATCCTCTGGAATGTACATCTGGTCAGCACTCTGCACTGGAACGCCATCCTTCAACCACTGGATCTCTGGCTCCTCCATACCAAGCAGGCTGCAGTTCAGTTTGGCTTCATGCCCTTGAGACACTGTTAGATTGTACCCATGACCTGTAAACCGCAATCCGACTGCTTTGCCTAAACAAAACAAGAGCCGAAAAACAAGTCAAATGAGTTCTTCACCAAAACCAACAATGCACGCTCATCAGCTTTCTAATGTGTTCTTTATCAAGAACTAGAGTTACTTCCTAAGCCACCAATCGCCCTGAAAGGTTAAATCGGATTGATGGCTGTGAAAAAATGACTTCAGTGCTTAGTAAGAACACAAGGCTAAAAGGTTATGATTGCTTATTTGGAACTGATTACAGCATTGAACGATCGTGTATTTTAGGGCTGCAACAACTAATCGACTATTGAAAAAGTTGTCAACTTTTTCATTCGATTAATCGGCTTCCGATTAATCGATGAATGAAATTGGCCCTGTTCATGGCTCCACACACGCTGGAGCCATACCTCCTCCCCACCTCACGCTCGCCGCTGCCAGACTCGCCCGGCCGCATCCAGGCTCCACAAGCCGCACCTCCTCCCCGCTCGCCCGCCCACATCCACGATCGGCAAATTTAAATGAGAGACTTACATGATCATGTCTCACTAGCACATAGTCCGTAAAGTGGGAGAAGAATTTATTAACACAAATGAGGAACTGAAAAAACATTTACCAGACAATGATTTCCTATCATTAATATTACTACTACAGGCATTTATATACTGCTGACAATTTACTCAGTCAACAGATTTGATGAATTTACCTTACCAACTTAAAGTGACACCACTCAGAAGACAAATCTTAAAAATCCATTCAAGTACCTTAACTATTAACAAAAATGTATCTTATTTGTGTATCACTGTAACGTCTCCGGGAACCGCGAGCCGCTTGCGTCCCAGCTTGGAACGCATCGGCCGCGTAATGCAGTGCGCTTCCCTCCCTGTAGGGGAGGTCTTATGCGTTCCACCGTGGAACGCGGAAGTGACAGCACGCCGCAAGGCTCCACTTCCGCGTCCACCGGCTATTTAAAGCTCTTCTGAACGCTGGGGCGTTCCACCATTGGGTTGTATGCCCTACCAACGCCAGGCGCCTCAAGTCCTCCATCCCTGCAGCAGCCTCTTCAGAACGGATCTCTTCAGCTAACATCCTATTCCGAGGAGACACAGGGGGCCCTGCCTCTAAAGTGCAAGTACTGGTATTGGAGGGGGACTGTTGCCAAGCTCTGCTGGCTTACAATTGAATACCATCAATTGGAACGGTTACAGTACATTGTATTACGAGATAATACCTATCTATTACCACTGGGAACTTTGTCTACTTCAGTTCAGTTGTTGTTTATGCTTAAAGACTACCTACTGGAATTAATTAATTTCATTATAATTTCAACCTAACATGCCTATTAGGGATATGAGATAATATACCTCATTAGGCCTTTCCTTATACTTTGTGTTTTGCGGCAAATGATGTATGAATTCCAAACTCTTCGTTTTGATTGAGAGCGACGCCTGGGATTCCAGCCTGATTGCCGCACCTGAAAACCACTAAGGGATTTTTACCGCAGCTGAGATCCACTTTACCTCAGTATAACAAGGGCGCATTACAATCACTCAGCTGTAAATCCTCAAATTATCTCTGAAATCATGCCGACACTTTCCTTCCTTCTGAGGGGCTGGCTACTTTTGTTCCCCATGGTCCCTGTGTGTGTCGTAAAAGTAGCCACCACTCCAAGCTTGCTCCCATGATGGACTACAATCTCAAATTTATTTGTACTGAGATTGTAGACCATCACAGGAGCGAGCTTGGAGCGGTGGCTACTTTACAACACAGAGGAACCAAGGGGTACAAACGTAGCCACCCTCCAGAAGGAAGGACAGTGTCAGCACCAATTCAGAGATGATTTGTAGATCTACAGCTGAGAGATACACAAATCAGATACATTTTTGGTAACAGTTAAAAGATACTTGGATGCATTTTTGAAATGTAACTCCTGAGTTTTGTGTCACTTTAAAGAGGTTGGAGTTCAACCCCATTATAATGTTATGTACCTGCAAACACATACAACATATACACATTTTTTCTCAATTATGTTTAACCTTAAAGTTTATATATAGCTATTTTTTTTTAGCTATAGTTTGTAGAAGGGCTAGAACACCTCAAGCTTTAATGCTGCCTGTGTCCCACGTGATAGATTCAAGGGGTGATAGATTCACCCTTGTCTTTTGTCCTGGTGACCACAGACACAGAAAGTGACAGAAAATCCTACATTTACAATAGTCCCCAGCACAGGAGCAGAGGGTAATCCTTTCACGGAGCACATTCATTCCACTGCTCTACAGTATCCCCTATAGCAGGGGTAGACAAAGTAATATGGAATTCAGGAGCCAGCCTGTCAAATCCATATTTCTTTAGAAGCCAGCTCCAGCAACAACAAGTAGAGAAAACCTCAAAAATTAGGCACCAGACGTAATTTTTAGGGAACATTGGCTACCTGGCTCCTGGGAGTTGTCCAGCCCTTACCTACAATATCTCCTTATTTGAAGATTCTCTAATAAAAAGAAAAGGCCTACGTCACACTCTAACAGAGAAAGACAAAATAAGGTAAAGATCAATTTGGAACTACATTGTGCTACATATAAATATAAGTATTAACATTCCGCACCAGCACCTCCACCCAGATTAGGAATCGAGCCTTCCTTTTAGTTGTTAATTTGCAAATACAGTCATGTCAAAATCACTGTGTAAGACTGCAGGATCCTTTATAGAGAACCTGTATGTAATCTGATTATAACTTTCCTCCCTCCTCTCTGTTCTCCAGAAGACTGTCACTAATAGGAAAGTAGGTGGTGGGATACGGAGGATTATGTTAGTCATTGCATATTTTTGGCCGATCATTTCTGTCGGAGCTCTTTCAAGCAACAATGCTGATGTCACTGACACAGATTGACAGAAAATTTTCGGGAGGCATCATCAAAACAAACAGATGTAATAAAATAAATACAAACTCAAGTCAATGATATGAACAAAATAAGGAAAGTTGCCTCAGGTGGTGGTCAACCATTAGGTAATGATTTGGCTATCAAAAAAGAGGATTCCCTAAAAGAATATCTATAGTACTTTGACAGTTAATTATAAGAGAACCTGGCTGCTGCCAAAATGACCATATACAGTATAAGTGAGCAGGAAGAAGAAGCACAAGGAGCCAATGAGTTGATGTGTTGACAAGAAGCATGCTGATAGGAAGTGAATGCACTGTCTTTTCACTGTCCAGTCACAGGCTGGACACAGAAAGTAGCTCGATTGATGATGCCATCAGACTAAGGACATCGACTGGCATGAAAGAAGAAAAAAAAAAAAGTACTGGAAAGGGTAATCTGTGGACTGAAGATGAATATTTAAGAGGAGTTTGTTAATGCTTAACGTGACTCTAAACTCAGGAGTTAAGTCTTAAAAATGCATTCAAGTACCCGAGCTATTAACTAAAATTTATCTTATTTGTGCATCACTCAGCTGTAGATCCTCAAATCATCTCTGAATTCATGCTGACGCTGTCCTTCCTTCTGGAGGGTGGCTACTTTTGTTCTCCATGGTCCCTGTGTGTGTTGTAAAGTAGTCACCACTCCAAGTTAACTCCCATGATGGACTAGAATCTCAATGCAAATTAGTAAACTAAATATGAGACTTTAGTCCATCATGGGAGTGAGCTTGAAGTGGTGTCTACTTTGCAACACACACAGGCACAGTGGCGTCACAAGGGGGGTGCGGCCCGCACCCGGGTGACACCATTGGAGGGGTGACACCAAAATCACTGACAGTCATTTTGGTGTCACCCCCCTCTGAAAAGTCGGGCACTCGGGACGCCTCTGCACAGAGACCATGGGGAACAAAAGTAGTCACCCTCCAGAAGGAAAGTGTCAGCACCAATTCAGAGATGATTTGAGGATCTATAGTTGAGTGATGCACAAATAAGATACATTTTTTGTTAGTAGTTAAGGTACTTGAATGTATTTTTAAGATATAACTTCCGTGTTTAGTGTCACTTTAACAGAGCAACCAAAATATATTTATCATCGTTTTCCTAACGCCAGTTCTACTGCTAAACTACAGAAGAATACAGGCTCTGCTTGCTTATTTTTTATCATCACTATATTTGCAGATTTTTACTGTACCCTATTCGCTGCTGCGATAATGCTGTCGCCACATAATCTGTGCGCACATCGTGATCAAAGGCAGTTTAAAAAGAATCCAGTCTACATTTTGAATTGTCTGGGAGTTAAAAGCACAATAGTCTTTTACAAATTTCCGATCAGGTTTCTTCACCCACAAAGCAAACAAGCAAGCACTAATAATTTAATAATAACAGCCATTATGTACATTTCTGGCAGGAAGCATTTAGCCCTAATCGTCACACAGATATTAACACTTGAAGTCCAATCACAGTAGTGTGTGCATCTACGTAACTGAAAGTCAAGGACTGACCCTTAGATTCATTTCCAATCCAAGGGTGAAGGTGAATTTTGCTATTTTATTAATTCCTCAGGCTAGGACAGAGTATGATTTCGGATCTTTCCCTATAGTCCAGTGCCATGATATGACAGATGCCCGACCCAGATCAAGCCGCTGTTGCGGAGGATTGGCAAGGAAAATCCATTCCAAAAGCTCAATTACCCCCCACACACACTAGACTGATCCGCCTAAGGCTGGGCACACACCTTACAACCATCGCAAGACTTTTGTCTTGCGATGGTTGTAAGGTGCATAGGCAGATCGTACTTGCAATGATCGAATGCCACGCCCCCTGAGGGGCGGGCTTCCGATGACCGCAATGCCAAACGGGCAGTGTGCGCTTGCGCACACCGGCCCGTCCGGCTTTTATCTTACGAACATGCTACACACCCGCCGAACATCGTACGATGCTCGGCGGGTTTGCAAACATGTTCGTAAGTTTAAAGTCGTGCGACCTTACAGTAGTAGAGGTCGCACGGCTTCCACACACCTTACGATAATCGTACGATCGCGGGATTTCCCGCGATTATCGTACGATTAACGTAAGGTGTGTGGGGACCTTAAGGGTGCCTGTAACAGTTGCAGGTAG